TACTTTCTCCTGACAAAAAAAAAAAAAAATTCTGTTGATGGGTTGCAGGGGTTGTTCCTTTTTATTTTGATTGATTTCTGCTTTTTCCTACAAAGATGCTGAAAATTGGCTGGTCGACTGGGATTATTGTACAGTAATTCACAACTGATGAAGAACAGTAAATCAAGATTATTTTTTTTAAAAATCAGAACGCTGATTTGGAAACCTCATTCTTCCCTCATACTCTGTGAAATAAATTGATTACATGTCTAAGGTACAGAAAGAAAAAGAGAAGGTAAAATATAGAAGTGCATTTTTTGCTAGCAATTGCTCCCTGCGCTTTATAGATAATTAGATTTTTAAGTATCTTCATGGATCATGTCTGCTCTCTATAAACTTCCCTGAGTAACTGTTGCTAAACTTGTATATTGCAAGTGCAAGGTGTTTGCACGGGTACCATGGTACACATTGAAATGTCAATACCTTATTTTCTATAGTGTCCTATTAATGGTTAAAAGAAAGGTAACTGTGAACTAAGTAATTTCCACTATATTACAGCAAATAAAAAGAAGCACTGAAAAGACAATTTGACTGATGCACTGTTTTTAACTAACCTAAGATGATGAAGGTAAACTGGGATGAAGAATGAGTAACAATACTGAACTGTAAGTGGCCATGTCTACTAGACTGGTGAGAATGGCTCTTCTTATCTGTTAAAATTGGTGGATCTGGCAAAACACCAACTGAAAGAAAGGCTCCCCCAAATCCCACCCCAACAACCGGTCGGTGGTCCCTGGAGCAGCCCTGGCAGTTTCTGACCCTGCACTAGAAATCACTCTGCAGACGGCTTCTGCTCAGCGCTGAGGTCAGCGCAGGCGCGCCGCTTACTGAACTTCAAGGGTGAAATCCCAGTTATGCAGAAGAAAACTGTCTCTGTTCTGAATCCTACCAGGTAAATAAACTACTCACAATGTCTTTTATCTAACAGATTCTTTCAGATCCAGTGTTCAAACGAGTGTGTTGTACCACATAGGCTATCAGAATTTTATTTCAGCCCAGTAATGTTTTCATGTAATGGTTAATCTAATTGTTAATACGAAAAATTCTGAGTGCTTCGAAGTATTAAAGGAGAGAAAACAAATACTGTTACTGGCTTGATAATATAATCAGTTACTTAGATAAGGTGATTGCCTTAGACTAGGAGCCTGATTAACACTATTATTTATTAAAAAGTCAGATTTAGATAAAATTGAATTGAAATGAGACCATTTTGCTAGTACATCCAAAATAGTAGATATAGTCTGAAGACAATATTTACGTGCTCTAAGGAGATAAACAACTTAATGATCTCTCAACAGTACAGCTCTCTCTGTAAAACCTGACTTCGAATAATAATAGAAAAGTAACGTCCAACCTAGTTATGCATGTTTATATCCTACTGGCATGTGTGGGTGTTGTGTACATACTCTAAGCCAGAGCTTGGCATTGTAATGGCTTTGATCCCATGACTGTAAATTTAATGAGAGAACTTCTCGGGTACCGCAAGGGGGCAAAATACTTTGTGGTGTTATAAAAAAGAAAAAAAAAATCCACTAGTATTTGCTCTCACGACCTTTTAAGATATATATTTACCACCCAAAAATTTCATAATGAGTATGTAAACCAAATAAAGCTACACTCAACCTGACAATATTTTAGTTCCAGAAAAATACCTACTAGATCTTTCAAGGTTAAGAAAACAATAAAATATAAGAATGCCCATTCAGTCTTTTTTTTTTTTTTTTCCTTTTGTGTCTTGCATTTGTTATCATTAAAAAAAATTCTCCTCATTTGAAATTGGCTATAAAGAAGAACAAAACCCTGGAGAACAAAGCAGAAAATACCATTTGATTATCGTGATTGCATCTTGCACTTGGGTGCACGGTCTGTCTCTAAACTCTGACTCATCTGCCACCAGCAGGCTTTAAGGTGATAATCACCCACACAGAGCTATTTGCACATCATGTCTATCCTATCCTGTATCTAATTATACCCTTTATAACAAACTGTTTAGCATAATTAGTGGAGTTATGCTTTACAGGAATAAGGATAGAAGCTATAGTTTAGAAAAATCAACTTTTTGAAGGCATATATGTACAGATTAGTAACTTTGGTATTTGGTCACAAGAATGAACATTTTGATGCACTGGTCTGTGTAAAATTGTACAGTCATTATTTTAGCAAGTAAAATAATGTACCTTTCAGAATATTTACATACTGTATATAAGCATTGCTTACAATTATGAAATGGTTTTGGGACTCATTAATTGCTAACACTTTCACCAGTATTTTTCCAGACATGGCTGAAAAATGCTGAAAGGGTCAGCATTGGAATCAGGAATGCTGGAAATGAGCAGAGAACCTATTATTCAACTGATAGACAACAGCAGGTACAAATGACCTTAATGGGAAAGCTCTGATTTTTTTTTTTCTTTCTTTTTCTTCTAGATGATCAGAAAGGATGTTTACATAATGACCACTCTTTCTTTGTGTTCAAACTTTAATGATGAGCTGCTTTAATACAAGATCCTTTGAGGTAAAAAAGGAATAGAGAATGATACATACATGTGCACACAGGTAAATTTATTTTTCTTTGCTTGCTTTCACTGCAGTCTTAAAAGTGTTAAATGAACATCGCTTGCAGTGGCATCTTCTTTGTATGCTGGCAGTTTAGTCTTCATAACCACCTGCCCCAACCCCATCCTCCTTATTTACTAGGAAAAGCTTGAAGCACACACAAAAGCTAATGCCATTCCCCGCCTCCCCCCCTTAGTGTCTGCTGCCAGGCAAAATAAAACCCAAAGTGTATCTCCTGAGAGTAACTCCCTGTCCCCAGATGGGGAAAAACTCCGCTGATATGAACACAAACATTGTATTAGCATAGACAAAAGAAGAAATCATGCAGAATCCATTAAAGCAGCCACAACTAATTAATCTTGTTTGTTTTTATGCGTTAATTGTACTTCTGTTAAATTCTCTTAGAGACCAGGATAAATTTATGGGTTCTATCCTTGTTTAACGATAATTCTGCTATTTCTATTTTATAGGAAAGATGTTCAGAACATTGTGCAAGTAGAACTATTTTCCCCCTGCGCTATTTAAGAAAAAACACATGAAAAAAACAAGCAGAGTATCAGTATTTACTTGTGCTCACGAAGAGATGCTCGTGTTTTATCCTTTCCAGGTAGGCAAAGAAATTTGTTGAATTCTACCACATATTATTCCAAGGTATTTACAGCAGATTAAAGATAAAGCATAGACTTGCAGAAACTCTTGTATTTCCTATGGAATGTTAAACAAAATTTTCTCCATTTGTAATAGATAAACTGTACTAATCACTCCAGAGTAAAATACAAAGAGGTCAACAATGCATCCTTTCAGGTCACCATTGTTTAAAAGGTATTTGAGTTTCCCTATTAAGTTTTCAAAGGCCAACATCTGCTGATGCTCAGAAATGGTAGATGTGGTGACGAAGGCTGTATGGAGCGTGAAGTGAAAACACAACCATATTGTCCATGCAACACAGTACTAAGAAACTTATAGCACAACCAGACTTCAAAGAGCTATTTTCCCATTCGTCCCATTTCTGTTATTAGTGGCAGGAATATTCCTGAGAACAGACATAAATTTCTCTTTCATTTAGTTCATTTTCTTTGGTTATAAAATACATGTATAAACACAAGGTTTTGAAAACAGCGTATCACTGTGCATTTGTAGTCATGCAAATGCCAAAGGAGATACTACAGTGGGAAAATGACGTTATTAAGATTGAAGGCTTTCATTTGCGTGTTACTGTCATTGAGGCTGTTTCACTATTTAAAGCTGCAAAACAGATGCCCTGGCATTCAGCTGTTAACGTTGCTCTCATCTGCAAGGAGGCTAGTTTTGATGGCATTTAACTTGCCATCTAGAGCTTAACAAATCAGCACCATTCATGAGCTGAAGTAAACCTAGCTGACTTATAAATTGACAGACCTGACCCCGCATCGTAAGAAGCGAGGCAGTTTTACCCAAATTATTAGAAGCTTTTCAGTTGGCTATCAGGTATGGCAAATTGCATTTTACTACTGTGATGTTTTATCATTGTGATAGTCCTGCGTCACACAAGTTGTGTCTAAAGCCTCTGCAAAGCTGAGGCTGTGGGGAATGTTCTTTCAGCTAGCCGCAGCAGGATCCCATTTCTAGCTGCCTGCTTTATTTGTAATCAGCTAACGTGTCACGACTGTGTACACTTCGCAGCTATGGAACTCAGCTAGACTCACAGCTCAGCTACTGTGCACTTAGTGTCCTCAAGTGTTTTATTTAATTAATCATCTGTTTCGCCGATATACTAGTTCTTTACATAATGGTGGTAGGGTTTTGTTATAGTTTGTGTAATATTTTGGTGCTTTAATTGCATATAGGAAAGTAGGTTTTTGTGAAGGAACACAATTCTGATTATTTTGTGGAGTAAAGCCCAGTTCAAAGGCCACTGGAGTTAATTCAAGATTCCAGCAGATACATTTCATTTGCTAAGCTACTTCATAAAAACGAAACCTCTTCCATTTATAAACTCTTCCATTTGCTCTTTGCATTTACACATGCACATACCCACATGAAAATTAATGGTCCTATACTTCTCTGTTATTAGCAAACATTTTTTTTTATTTGTAAAGGTGCTCAACAACTATTTTCTGTAGAACGTTGTCTTAATTCTCTGTATAGCACTCAGTTTTATAGCACTCAATTTTTATGTGCTGATCAGAACTGATCAGCAAATCTGCAGTTGAAGGCAGATGTGTTGTCAGTAGGGACATTCTCTCTGACCACGTAATACAGTTACGTGGTAATGCAGCAGAGGAAGGCCAATACATATACATATAGGCCCTGCACTACAGAGCACATTTTTTAGAGAAACATTATCTGCACCAGAAAGGGATGTTGGGAAATTAGATCCAAGAAGCTGAATGACAATGCAAAACAATACTGGTTTTATTACTTACTACCAATACTGGAAATACTGGGTATACCTGTAGAGAAAGAAAACACAAAAAAAAGTACAGTTAGCTGTTTGCTGTAGTTGGCTGAGCTATTATATCTATGAATCTGAAAACAATTTTTTCCAAATTTTCAGAATATTATATCAACACATAGTTAAACCAAGCAACTGCCAATGTGTACCCAGCCCTTCAGAAATGCAGAGTCTTTAGATTTTTCAGTACGAGGCTGCAGGGACTACTAAAAGGTGTTGACAGATGGGTATTTCTGGGACGTACACCAGCTCTCTGAACTTCATGAATTTGTTCAGAATAGTTTTGTATTTCAACTAACCAGCCATTAGGTTTAATGGTCTAGATAAAAATATCAGTCATGCATGTATTATACAGATCTAGGAGAATAATTTAACCAAGGGATAAAAGCATTGCTAACTGCTTTGGCCAGCTGCTTAAATCAGTTGATACCTTCTGTTGAATTAACTGTATATAGCTATTTTTTTCCTCTTTTACCTGATGGTTATCTAAATTAAGCTATGGGAAAGAAAGGTAATTGAGCGAAACAGTCTAATGCATTAGGTTGGTCATATTGACTAACCCTCTCATTGATTATTTTTTTTTTCCCCTTCCTCTGCTTTCGTTTCAGTTCCTAAGCTGAATTCATGTAAGGAAACCATTCTGGAGGCAGGTGAGATTTACCAGAAGAAGTGGGGTTGCTGAGGAGTAAAACTCCTCTGCTGGATTAGCAACGCAGGATCTCATGTTGCATGATGCAGTCCCGACATGTAGCTTGTTGTCAGGTCTGCCCTGAAAGGTGTGTAGCACAAAAATACGGACATGACATTTTTCCTGAAATGCCATTTTCTTTAGATTAAATGGTATTGCTAATGGTGCTATTGCTAATCTCTTGGGTTAAAGCCATAAATTGCAGATCTGTATTTAAATCCTGGATATTTGCATTGTCTTAGTTAAATACAGTTTGCCTTTTGTAAGTTTTATCGACTTTTGATGGCATGCATTTCACTGCAGAAATCTGTCTGTTTCTCCATTAAACATCTGCTATAGTTCTTTCAACATTTATCCTGAAGTTCCATCTTACTCCGAGATGGCATGGACCTCATTTAGCAATTAGGCAAACTGGAGCGAAGGAATGTCTTGGGGATAAATGATATTCACTGCAAGCAAGGTTGTAGAGTCAGGCTGGGAACATTTCTAACTTGCGGCATGGCTAAGACAACGCTGAAGTAACTGTGTTTGCAGAATGGCAACCATGAACAGATCTTTTGTGTTTCACCACAAGAGTCCTGGGGCACACATCAGCATTGCAGCTCTGGTTTCGTACCCTATGGAAGCTGTGGTCTGGCAGAGCGCTGGGCACTGCACTGGGCGCAGCACCTGCTGCTAACAGAGCCCTGCACTCGGATGTTGTTTGCAAACTTTATTTTTTCTACTTCTGCTGATATTAACACATATTTTCCAAAAATTGAGAATCGTGAGGTATTAAAAGCTAAATAAAAATATCATAATAGAACAATGCTGTTATAGTTCTAAAAAGTAAGAAAAAGTGCCTTTTTCAGTTAGAATGATGTAAGACAACTTCTATCCCTTTGTCTTAAATGTCAAAAAGGCAATCAATTTTCAAATAATTTCCCCTGAAATTTCAATAACAGCTTGTTTACATTTTTGCAAGTCATCGTAGCTGTTTTAAATTAGCAGCATTCATTGTCCTTTATATACTGATGGAAACTGCACAAATATTAGATACAATACAGATACTGCATTCTCACACTCACACTGCCACTGTGAAACGGTATTTGTATTTCCTCTGGGTATACTCCCCCGCCTCAAACCTTTTTCTCTCCTACACACACATAGAAATATCCTTTCCTTTCTCTCCTGAACAGATTGTAGCAAAAGGAGAGATTTTCCTACAAGTCTGCTCTCCTCATTTTACTGTATTTCAAAATTTTCAATGAATTCATAGTGATAAACGTTTCCTGGGCAGAGAATAATGAAAACAAGACGCCTGCTACCCTGAAGGGCTCTGTATTGACCTTGCAAAGTTGTCTTGGGGTTCTGTTTGAAAAGTTTTTTATATTTGTGTACTGAGTTTCTGGGTTAGCGTGGTATTCTGTATCCAGCTTGAGTTTTGTAATACCAGGTATCATCCCTGTGTGCGGTGACTGGCCTTGACAGCGCACTACTTTATGCCCTTTCTGCTAAAGAGAATGAGAACGGCACATCTAAGTTTGTCTGGAAAACGCTGGTTATGTAGGGCCACGAAGCAGGATCTATTAACACTCTGAAAACCGCACATATGATGGGAAAATTATTCTTAGTAAGAGTGTTTTCATGAGATCTGGAGCTACATATTGAGGCTAGCTCTTGAATTCAGCTGAGCTGTATTTGGTGCAAGTCCTTAGGTAACAAGGCACAGGAGGTGCGATTCTGCCTCTCCTTGGCTGCCAACGCGGAGGCACGCGGGGGCCCGACCGCACGGCTCTGCCCGTGGCACCACCGCCGCGGCCACCAACAGGTCCACTGCTGCTGGCCTTTGGATGGAAACCGGTACGTTATGTGACGTGGATCGTTTCCAGTCAGCCTTCTATTGAAATCTGTGAGTACTCTGCAGCAGTGAAATGGTGTGAACAGGTTCTAGAGAGAGATGAAGAAGCAGGCCTATTGCTTGTCTTGATGCACAACTCTATTCAGCTAGACGTAAAGAGTAAATAAAACCAAGTGACTGCATTTATGAATACTCAGTTGTTAAACCAAAGGAATGTTTAGTCTAAATTATCTTCTAGTTGAAATCACTGGGATGGTTATTAATGGTAATAGTTTTATAGCGAGGAAACAGCAAGTAAAGCATGCAAAGAAAGTTCAGGGGTAGCTACTGCCCCTGAAATGGCAAACACTGCAGAAGAAAGTCTCTAATACTATTTATTATTTTTTTACTTGACTTGAGGGTGGTGGTTTAGTATATTACATGTTCACTGTAAGTGCATCTAAATATACATGCATTACTTGAGAGAAAAAAAAAAAATATCTGGTGTTTTCCTTTCACAGGATCTTCTGCATCTGCCCTGTAATTTTCTCATTTCCTCTTTTTCCAGAAATGGGTTGTTTTAGCTATTAGCTACCATGGAGCTGACTGTTGAGAATGGAGAAAAAAGCAAATCAGATGCTAGCAAAGGAAGCAAGTTTTTGATTTCTTTTATAGTTTGTGTCAGCGTGAAATCCCTAACACAAAGGAACAGCAGCAAGCTTTCGGTGAGCAGGGTCACACGGCTGCTTCCAGTCTCAGGGCGGGTCATACCCTGCGGTCCCTCTCATCAGCTCTGTCGCCAATGCCCGTGTGCGCTTCCTGCCAGCAGCGCAATTAATGCAGCCAGGCTACGTCTCTTCCTGGGCAGGGCGTACACGTGGGATGAAGGAATCATCCAGTCAACTTGGTCTTGCCTACCACCATTCCTACCTTTCCTGTAGGAAAGGAGAAGATAGCCTCTTCTCCATCCCAAGTTGAACGTGCCTCTGCCGTATGATAGGGAGCCAGGGACAGGCTCCTGCTGCTATCAAAATACTACACCCAGCTCGCTCGCATTCAGGGAAATAGTGTCACCAAGAGCTCGGTGAATTGTCCAGGTGAGGTGAATACAGCCCAGAAACTGAGAAGTAAGACTGCCTCCTATGAAGGCATGGCAGGATACAGTAGTAAATAATGCCGTGCAGGTTTGGATTCATATTAATTGCTGATCAAAGCTGTGTGAGAGCTTTTCTGACAAAAGAGACGTCCTTGTAATTGCACTCTGCACCACACATTTTAACTCTTAAGCAGGAGCAAAATATAGAGTTGTATTCCATAGCAAAGAGTCAGAGCAGGGCTGTTAATGCCACATTTGATCTTTTGCTAGAATATCTGTGCTGCAGCATGACGGGACTCCCTGCAGTGAGTCTTTTTTCCCTTTGCGACTCCTCCACTGAGGCATGATTGCAATATCAGATCCTCAGCATCAATTTCAGAAGTTCTGAATTCTCTAGTAATTTAAGCCCTGAGAAGCTGGAGGAACCTAGCATCTTGTAATCCCTCAAAGGGAGTGATTGTTATGATCACAGGAGTAAACTTTCCGTGTATTGCCAAACCTGTATTCAGCCAAAGGACCATACACAGTGAAAGACACAATTCTCAGGAAATTTTACATGTGTTTCATTGCAAGAGTCCTAGAATTCCTGCTACTGTTAATTTTGCGGTTGCTTGCTCTGTAAATATTGAAAATTTTTCACTTCCCAGAAAAAGAACCGCTGAGATGAAGTTTGTTATTCTCCACCTCTCTTTCCAATAAATGGGGCAGAGAAAATATTTATTATTGGTTTATTGGGTAACACCTTTTAAAATTTGGGTCTTTTCTCATGCTGTTTTACTGACTCCAAGCCAGTTTTAAAAACTGTCTGTCTAGGAAACTCCCAGTGAGATCAAATGATTTTATTTCAAGTAATCATAATTTATTGATAGAATATTAGATATTAGAAACTTTAAAAAGCCTGGAACTCAGATAATTTCTGGAACTTTGAGTATCTTATAACAGACACTTTGCCTTCCCATACTGCTGCTTGAGGATTAGAACCCTCTTTCATTGCTCCTCTTCACTGTGTATGGCAAAAATAGAATTGTTTGAAACCAGTGACGAATGGAAGCAATTCATTTCCCAGTAACAGATGTCACCATAACCAGCACAACCAACCAACTCAGCAGGGTCACGCAAAAGCATGGAGTGCTGAAGAACAATTTTTCAAGCCCCATTTTAAAAAAATACAGCATGTTATTTATAGCACACTGGCTTTTAGGTATGTACCTGCAATGTTTTGCTGGCCGTTGCTAGTTGGAAGGAAGTTAGTTCATCATTTGCAGGTTTTCCTGACACATCTGTTTTCCTGAATGCTCTTGATACACTACAGTTTTGCTCCCACCACCATGTTTCCCAGCCTGACACAGTTTTTGTGTTACATCTTCCCGTGGCTTTGCATCTTCTGTAAGCTTC